AAAGATGGGCAAAAACGGATGTCGGATGAAGAAGTTATGAGAATTTAACGGACCAATCCTGTCCCGGTCTATTAATAATATAAAATTTAAAATCGAGTCAAAATTAGCCGACGAAGTCTAAACAAAAGTTGTAGAGTACGTTCCCGCCTTCACGTGGATATAATAGACGTCGAAAACGGAGCTTGTATGCGAAAGTTACGAATTTTTAAAGCTGAGTGTGCAAATTGCGAAATCTGATGCGAGATGGATGATGTGGCCGCATCTGGGCCGTCGCTTGTTGACCAAGGCTTCGCTTCGGATTGTGACGCACCACCCTCAAATTACGCCCACGTCCGAAGATGTTACGCCCCGCGTAGCTCCAATCTGAACCAACAGGAATGCGAGACAGCTGGCTGCGAGCTGGCATCCATACCCAAGGAGTACGCCCAGCGTAAATCCGAAGCCAACAGCCTATAAATAGCTGCGAGGGCAACCTTCATTTTTCACACCATTCTTCTTCTCTCTCTAAAATACTTTCTCTCTCTAGCTTCCAAACCACCCCTAAGCCCTAGGAAAAATACCTAGCACCCGAGGGAAGCCCCGAGGCTCCCGGAGTCCCGAGAAAAAGAGCCTTTCGGTTTCGAAACGCTGCTCCAATTAAGTTCCGGTTTTCGATAAAATTCGTTATAAGTGTGCTACGCTTACGCAATTTTTAATATAGCTTTCAAATAATTATAGGAATGTTATTAGGTCCTTAAAATAATTATTTGGGTTATTATTATGAGTTATATTGAGTGTTATTAACGCTTATATAATAATAATAATGGTCAGACTAATTAAATTGTCGCGGTTATCGTTAGACTGAACCCTAGTGGTATTGGTACTAGGTTTTAGCGAAGGAAAGTTGTTTTGAGAATATCGAAGCGTTGTCCGAGTGTTGAGTCACCACCTTTCAGGTGAGTGCATAGTCCCTTTCATCTTACACATAGATATGAAGTATTTTAATATAATTTACGTGCTATGTGTGCATATTATTTGAATACTTGCTGTCTATGCTGGGTGAAAGATTTTTATACATGTTTTAAATGATTTAAACTGTATATGTATTTTATATCTACAAAATGTGTTGGGTAAAACATGGGTAGATATAATAGTTGTTTTGTGATAACACGATGGGAGACATCAGTGTTGTCAGTGATCCAGTCATCTAGTGGAGTATCGATGACGACTATGGATGATACTAGACGGTCCAGTGGAACGATAGCAGGCTAGTAACTTGTAGGTGTTTTTGAACTAGGTGCTCATTAGGTATTTTTGAACTGAGTGTGTTCACTAGGTATTTTTGAACTGAGTGTGTTCACTAGGTATTTTGAACTAAGTGTGTTCACTGGTTACTTTTGAACTAAGTGTTTACCAGATTTTTGGACTACGTGTTCACCAGATGTTTTGGACTACGTGTTCACCAGATATATTCTATAAGCCTTGGTAATGATGGACTTCGTGTCGATTCCTTAGGATGATCCTTAGGAATAAATAAATGAGGAATAGCTGATTCTTAGGGTAGATCCTTAAGACTAAAGAAGATAATGGGGATGGGTAATTGGGTTAATTGTTTGATTGTTTAAACATAATAATTATATTATTGTAGGTTGAAAACCCTATGTAGTTTCCCAACCTGACCCACTCAGTTTATTTATATCACAGGTGTTGATATGAAGTCACATTACACTTAGAGATTAAAGAGATGTAGATCACTAGTGTAAATAAATGTAAGGTCTGTTTATGCTTATGTTCCTGTACTGACGATGACATCCCAAACGTTTTAAAATGAATAAAATATGTTTCTTCGAAAATGTTTTAATAACGTATTTATCGTGTTTTTCTGGGAACGAATTCCGCAACATTTTTATTAAAAGAAGAACTCTGATTTTTATAAAGTATAAACAAAATCAGTCTTTTCTGACCGTGAAAATGGGGATGTCACAGGTTGACTTTGGTGAAATCTTTTGAATATTTGGTTGAATGTTGAAGAACTTCATGAACTTGTTCTTGAACCTTTATGAGAGTGTTTTATATTTTAATATCTTCTGCTATTTGTATGTTTTTATTCATAAGTTTAAATGTATTTGTAGTGATTAGTTGGCTAATTTCTTGATTAAGTAATGGATCCTCAAATTAGCAAGTAACAAGTGATTCTTGTGTTAGTTTTCATTTCACGCAATCACAAAAACATTTTCTCCAACATGGTAGTGAAAGCATTTGACTTATCTTGGATTTGATGACTTTTTGGTTCTTAATGTTATTTAATTTTTACTAATTATATGCTTAATGAAAATTATGACTTTAACTAAGGAAATATATTGTGAGCTTCTTTAGCTCTTTTAATAACTAAGAAAAATCTAGGTAATCTCAAGCTTCTTGAATTACTACAGTCAAATTAAAGATTTAAGACAAGTATTGCACTTCGGATTCTAATGATATACTTACCAAATGTTCAAGTGAGGAAACTTTAAGTCAACCATCTTTTTCTCATTGATTTTACATCAAACTTTTACTTTTGTTGAATTGTGTGTATTAAATCTTAGTATGACTCTAGTTTTATTTCTGATATCTCAAAAGACCAAAACCCTTTTTTTAGTTTATAAGTGTTTGTACAACAAAGTTTTTATAGAAATAACAAATTAAACAAATTTTTGTAGATTCGTCTCTTTTACCACTTTACACTATTTTAGTATACATGATTTAGAATTATGTGTTTTGTTGGCCTCAACAACTACTACTAACCTAATTTTCTAGCTATTAGAGGTATTTTTTAATTTCAATTAATGGTATTAAATCATAAAAAATTGTTGATGATTAAATCAGATAAATTTCAAAATATCATGGTCAATAAAGTTTTTTATAAAAGTTTCTATAACACATAATATCAACATTTTAATGATTTAACCTAAAATTTTAATTAAAACTTAAGTTTTATCAACATTTTAACTTTTATGTATCATATTTATGTTTTTTGTTTTAAAAGGTTTTTTTTTATAATTTTTGAATTAAAAAAAAAAGGTGGGATAAGTTTGCATGAACTCATGACCCTGTTTACGAATCCATGGTTATTTTTTAAAATATCAAAAAGAAGAAATAACTTGAAATATGAACTCAGGCACCATGCTCATTGAACGCACTTAATAATCCTAAAAATAATTGAAGGGTGTTTTGGTTTGGTTATTTAAATAACTTATTATTAATTTTTCCGATTTTAAACATAGTTAAAAAAAATAATAACTGGATTACCTTATACGTACGATTTAATATGTTGATGAATTTCTATTTATATATCTTAAATAACCACAAAACACACTATAAAATAAAAGGGTAAATTGTTATGAAAAAAAATGATAATCAGCATCGGTTATATGGTAAAACCGTAAAAGAGTAAATTACTGTGCGTGAGATTGAGATGGCTATATCGGGTTAAAACAAATCGGAAAAAGGTAACTTTATTCTCATCTTATAATAAGCAATTTAAAATAAGCTAAAAGTATATTCAAATCTGTCAAGAGAAAAAATTAAAAAATAATTTATTTAAATCGATTAAGGGTAGGTTGGGTGTGAAAATTTTCTTGATTTCCATAAAAACTTTATGAAAATAAAAATTTTGAAAAGTCGTGTGGTTGATACAATTATCAAAATATTAAAATAAAAATAAAAATTTTCTGTTTTTTTATTTTTATGTAAATTGAAAAAATGATTTTCACAGTTTTCTAAATTTACAAAATGAAAAATGAAAACTCTATGGGCTTCAACCAAACCCGTTTATAAAAATTTTTCATTAAAACTGAAACAAAAAACTCTATGTTATGAAAAAGTTTTCTAGTAAAATAAAAACAATTCTTCACAACCACACACTTATAAAAGTAATATACTTTAGCTTTTGTACATATTTAATCACTTATCTTTTTTTTAATCACTTATGTTGTTTTCGCAAGACTCCAATCCTCTTCTTTAGAGGGTCTCACACGAAGATGCACTTCAAAACAAAAAACACACACATTCAGACACCTGCACAACTCCACTGGGTTTTTTCTTAAACACACACATGCATAAGTTAACTTTATTTTTGTTTTACCTTTATAAAAAACTAGTAATACTTATGTTTAGGTTAGCTTTTTTATCTCAATTAAAAAAAAAAAAAAAAGTGTTTATTAGCTTGTGGTTTTTAGGAGAAACTTATTTTAAAAAGTATTTGAATAAAAAAAGTTGTTTTTTCAGTAAAATTGTTAAGAAGCTAAAAAGCTAGGATTTTCTAACTTTTTAAGAGTTTTAGGTTGTGTTTAGCGCGTTATAGTTAACTGATAAGTTAGTTTATTTTTCGAGCTTTTTTATGTTGTCGTGTTTGGTAAGCCAAAAAATAGCTTATAAACTAACTAACTTATAAGCTAGCTTTTTGAAAAGCTACTTAGACTAGCTTTTTAAGAGCTTTTTAAAAAAAAATTCAAATACACCCCTTAATTAAGTATAAAAACACATACTTCTACATGTCCTTTTATGTAATTTTATATATTTCAACTAGCTTTTCAGCTAAATTTACCAAACATTATTTTTTATCAGCTAGTTTTTTATTTAACAACTAGTTTTCAACTATCAGCTAGTATACCAAACATAGCCTTACTTTTTCCTATCCAAAAAACTAATTTAAAAAACGTTTTTTAAATACACAAACACTTTTTTAACTTACTAGTTTTTTAAAAAACTAAAAAGCTAATAAGCTTTTTCGAAAAGCCATCTCAAACACCCACTTAACTTGTTGAAAGATGTAGCTTTTATTTTCGTAAAGGTGTTCAGAAAAAAGTTTTCAAAAGCTCGTTGTCGAAGAATATCACTAATTATCAACCAAGTTTCACATTGATCCTATAACAACAACGGAATTTTAACAATCACACCAAAATATTTTAGTGTAAGATCTTTAAAAAGTAAAACTCAATTTGATAAATAAATGTATCTGCCCAAAGAGCAAAAAGATTCACGTCAACAATGAGAATATGACACCCAACAAATCATGAAACATGATTAATTAATAAAAAAAAAAAAAACCGAACACCTTATTTCTCTCTTCATCACATTTGTAATAAGTTATAGCATTTGGTAATTGGCATTTTTCAAGGCTTTAAAGCAATAGCCAATCCAACTTTGGCACTTTTCTCAATCGCCCTCGTATCCACTTCACCCGAGATAGTAAACAACGATTTAGGACGCCATTCATGCTGCAATACAGCGCTCGCTATTCCAGCATTGTTAACACGCGCCTTAACCAAGGTTAAGGGATCAAGCAAATGCTGACTCCCGATAGTCAACGAGTTCTCATTACTTGAGAACCCGTGACTCAACTCTGCACCAACCGCAGTGTTGGTCAACGGGCTAACCGTGTGGTAATATGAAGCCGTAAGCGTATCCGCTTTATCATTCCTACATCAATCAGACACTGACTCAATCAGATCCAACTCAATCAACAACTATCAGAATAAGATTTAACCGAATAAGTCAAAAAGAAAATTCCACTTAGTTACTCACAGTATCAAGGATGCAATGAGGTCAGTGGATGTGAAACTTAAGGCAGCATTATATTTGGTGAAGTTTCCGGAAGCAGTGTCAAAGGAAACATCAGTCCCGAGTGATACTGTGTTGTTTCCCGCCACACCGGAGAAGTTGACTATGGGGCTAGCGGTCAAACCGATGCTTGTACTGATTCCTGCGTACTCATGTAAGTACTGAAGTTCAACCTGTAATAGAAGGAAATGAAAATAGAAAGCTATAAATATAATACATAAATAGATAAAAGAATGTTGATATTTCTTGTGTTTAGTAATAGATACCTTGCCAGATTTCTGATCAGGGGCAATGAAGCTGAAGATGGTTTTTAATCCTGGTGCAGCTTCATCGACAGTGATAGTTGTGAATAGCTAGATGGTGTTGATGATAGGAGAAAGGGTGAGTATGTTTGAAGTGAAAGATGAAAGGGATTGGATAAAAGTATGGAGGTTATTGGTTACCTTTGAGTTTGTGTCCACTTTGACATCGGTTGTGATGTTTTTGTTGATTAGTTTGGTGCTTACATCTGCTAAGAAGAAGTCGCCTTTCTTGGATCCTGATGAGGTAATGGCCTGGAAAATAGATGAGATTATAAGTGACATTTGACCAGATTATTCATCTTAAAATTATACTCCAAGTATATGATATGTTGCATTCCAAAGATCACAACTATTGGAGGCAATTCTGTGTTACCTTTTATTGCCTACTACACAATGAAGTATGAAGAAAACTGGAGACTTTGTTGAATGCTATTAGCAATTATAGGTTTGTTTGGCATGTTCAGAACCTCTGATTCAGGATGTAAGAGATGAAATGTATACTGACGAATAAGGATGAAAAAGTGTAGCAGAAAACACTGAGGATGAGCAATAATACTATCTACTGTGAATTCGAATTGTACATGTTACCTATCAGTTTTTTATAATAATCGATCGATCACTTGGATACAGAATCAGAAACAGCGAGTTGTTATATACCATAAACGGAAACGATAATCAAAACCTATGTTCGTATACAAATCAGATTCAGATAAACTCACACATATACGAGAGAGAGAGAGAGAGGAGCTTACAACGCCATTCGCTGCATAGGTAGTGACAGAGAACTTATGGTCGCCTTGGTAATCCCTGTACAGAAGATCTGAAGCACAAATGTCTAAAATCAATATATGCAAACACATACACACTTGCAGCAAATACGAACAGATATGTAAAATCGGAAACAGAATAACGCGAAGCAAAATCAACAAACGTATCTTCAACATGATTTTTTTTTAATCAAAATTACCAACACCGATTATTCGGACAAGACATACAGAGATGGAATCGAATCACGGATAAACAGATTGATAATCCGTGTGAAACTCGAAACGAATAAAAAAAAATTGCAAAAGCTGATGAATTACCTCTGGCTTTTTTGCCGATATCGGGATATAGACCTGGACCTTTCCCCATCTCTGTTCTTGTTCGAGAAGCTGATGAGAGAGAGAGAGAGAGAGAGAGAGAGAGAGAGAGAGAGAGAGAGAGAGAGATGATGGTTTCTGTGGATTTCAACAACGACGCAGCCGATTAAATTGAATCGGAGGGGAGTTGTGGAATGTGGACTGTTGATCCGGTTCGGTTTAAGAAAGCCGCATATTTTTTATTTCACAAATGTCAAGAAAAAACAATTTGCATAAAAATCTCAACAGATAAATAATTATCTATCCAAATAAAACATTCATAATATATTACAATTACAAAAAAAATTTACAATATTTTATACTATAACTATAATATACTTAATATACTTATTTGGTTACTCATGTTATTTCTGGTTTTTTTTTTTTAAATAACTGAATAGAAATGTTTTTGTTGGGTTACAAAAACGTACATGGAATGATGGAATAATTGAATATGCTATTTTCCCACCGGGTTGAAAAGAATATGAGAAGAATATGCTGAAGAAAACTATAATGTGCAATAATAACCCCTGACGTTTTCGGAAATGTAAATACAGCCACAAGACAATACTGCAAATTTGGTCCTTGTGGTTTATAAAAATCTTTGGATGAAGTCCAAAAAGTTTCCAGCTTGTACAAAAGATCTGAAATTAAGATTTTTCTAGGTTTTTGATCCTAAACTTAAGAAATTTTTGTAGTTTTGATCCATGGAACACTTGAATTGACTATTTTACCCTTTAAATTTCTTTTTTGTATTTTTTATATTTTAATTTTATAAATATTAATGCATTAAAAAAATTATATATATATATATATATATATTGTAGCGATCGTCTTCTGAGGTATTAATTAATTTAATTTCTTGTATGTTAGTGAGCTTTGATTGGTAATTGTCATCTTGGATTGGATTGGACCTTCATGATTTTGGGTCGAGATGTAAGCTGCCCATAAGTCGTACGCGGGGCGTAACCCGTCGTACGCGGGACATAGTGCCTTTAGTTTGTGCGGGTTGTGAGAGGCGTACACGCAGCGTACCTAGAGGTACGCCCAGCGTACGCGACCAGGTGGAGAAACCCTAATTTTAGGGTTTGAGACGTATTTAAACCCCATTATAACCTCCCATTTGGCCTCCTCACTTATCCTTCACCCCCAGAGAACCCTAGTTCGTCCCTTTTTCCTTGTTGTGTGTGTGGTTGATCTTTTGGGCTCATTTTTGTGAAGAAAAGTTGGGAAGAAGAAGAAGAGAAGTGGAAGAAGGAGAACTTAAGTACCTTAAGCTCAAAGATCTGGGATCATTCCTTCATTTGACATTCAAAAGAGGTATAAAGCTTCCAACTTTCCTCTTGTAAGCTTAGATCTAGAAGTTTTTGGAAGTTTGGACCTTTTAGGTCCAAAGGAAGAACCTTTATCATGCAATTTCGTTTTTAGAGCTTGGGATTGCTATCCTTGAAGCTCAAAGTGTCCCCATAGCAGTAAAGTTTCGATTTTTGAGGCTTTCATGAAGCCATGCATGAGATCTAGCCACCTTCTGGTTATAAATGGTTGTTTTTAGAAGTTTGAGCTTAAGGGGGTCTTGTAAGCCATCAAGTAAGCAACTTTATGGTTTAAGACGTAGGATAAGACCTGGATCTAAGATTTTAGCTTATGACTCGGATTATTAAGCACTTAATGAGACTTTTGGCTTAACAGGGCTGTACGTTGGGCGTACAAGGAGGTATGCGTCGCGTACAAGCCAACAGCCAGTACGCTCATCATACCTTGGTGTACGCCCCGCGTACACTGCCAATTTGGGCTTCGAGCGTTTGGGCCTCAATGTGGGATGAGTTTTGGACTTAGGGTTTTTGGGCCTTAATGGCCTTTAGAATTCAGTTGTTATGGGGCAAAGATTAGTATTGGGCTTAAGTAAGTCCCAATAAAGGGTTGTAGGCCCAATTTAGCAAATTGGGCCATTAGTGGGCCTTTAGTGGGGCCATGGATGGACTTAGAAGGAATTAAGGGTTTTGGGTCATGTTGTGACCCATACCATAGCAAGGGTAAAATGGTCATTTTACCCATAGAAGAATCCCTATTATGATTTAGTATTTTATTTTCCCATGATAGTTGGGAAGCAGCCGGAACAGCAGTCAGGGATTTCTCATTCAGGAGTTCAGCAGTTAGTATCACGAGATGAGTTTCCTTCTAGTAGGAACGGGTCTAAGGCCACAATGCCGGCCCATTTAGCTACTAGTAGTTTCCGAACTTCGGTCCCATGCAGTAGTTAGAATGTTTGATGCCTTCATGGCTCAGACAGGGTTTATGTGTTATGTGTTCTGGGCTACGGCCCGATGTAGAATGCAGTTTATGTGTTCATGCTAGTTGATATGTTTATGCTATGCTATCTTATGCTCAGTCAGTTATCGGACTTCGGTCCGATGCAGTTAGTTCCGGACTTCGGTCCGATGCAGGGGACAAGGTCCCAATCAGTTCCGGACTTCGGTCCGATGCAGTTAGTCCCGAACTTCGTTCCGATGCAGAGGGCAAGGCCCTGGTTAGTTCCGGACTTCGGTCCGATGCAGTTTTCGGACTTCGGTCCGATGCAGTTTCTGGACTCCGGTCCAATGCATTGGGCAAGGCCCAGTATGTGTTATACGTTATTGTATGGTATGTGGTAGTTTGGGGGAGCTCACTAAGCTTTGTGCTTACAGTTTTAGTTTTGGTTTCAAGTACTTCCGCAAGTAAAGGGAAGAGCTCTGGATGATGGCATCGCATACACCACAACTTCAGTTTATCCTAGGAGTTGATTTAGCTTTTCATAGATATGATTTGATACAGTTTTCTCGTGATACTTTGTTATGGTTTTGAGATATTAACATATGGGTTTTATTTTATGAAATTAACATGATGGTTTTAGTATTTATTAAACAAAATTTTTGGGTCGTATTTTGGGATGTTACAAGTTGGTATCAGAGCCTTGGTTTAAGGGATTCGGATACACTTTCGGGTGTGTCTGAACTCAAACTAAGGAAACGGTAAAAGATTTTCAAAGGAAATTTTTTTCGAAAAAGGAATGTTTTTGAAAAGAACTTAGAAAGAAAAAGAGTTTTGATAAAGGGAAAAAGGGGTGGTGCGTGCGATCAGCTGAGCTCAAGTAAGTACTCCCAAATTACCCATACAAGTATATATTATTAGTTTCAGTTTCAGTTTAGATCAGTTCAGTTTCAGTTTCAGTAGAACAGCATGCTAGTATATGACTAAGGATCTAGGAGGATGCCTTATGTGCCTGCTTTACGTGTTTCAGCTTGATAAGAAGTGCATGATAGTAGTGAACAGACAGTAGTATGATAGTCTGTGTAGGTTATGCATGATAGTATGAGCTTAGCATTATAAGCTAGTACAGTTTCTTGCTATGAGAATAGTTTGCAAGAGTATGTTTCCTTTATACGAATGATGCTTGGTTCGTGCTTTGTGGGGCTCTGAGTAATGGGAGTTAGCCATTTGGTGAATACATCACGTCACATGTGGTCAGGATTGAATAATCTCAGAGTGTCGGATTTGACCCTATTGCGCAGCTCTCGTTTGAGTCTAACCATTGTAGGGACGAGTCTTTTACTCGAAGGATTATCTGAGCCTCATTGCATGTGATGGTATTCAGGTGATGGCTAATTGGCATTACAAGGAGGCCTTCAGCAGCTGAGGACTGGTTTGGGTAAAGTCAAAGGTTTCCCTAAGGCAAGTCTAGGATGTGAGTAACAGAAATCAGTAGTAGTAGAGTGACTTGGTAGAGTCAAGGCAGTTCTTGAGGAAAGTATGGATATATATGGAAGGAAGTATGGGCCTGTACTACTGAAAGCAGAGGATCCGTACTCGAATCAAGGAAGGATGAGATGAGGCCGGGGAGCTTGTAGTAGCAGCGATCCTTTGAGATATTTCAGTGTACTAATGTTTGCCATGATATGTTTTCAGAATGGTGGTTTTGCGACCTAGGCCAGCAGTCGGCAGTTCAGGTGCCGGAGAGGGATCCGGATCAGGCTCGGGAGCCGAGCATCTTGATAAGCAAACTAGAGAGTTTTTCACTTCCGAGGTGACCCATATCATTCTTGAGCAGACTCCAGTGATCTTTGGTTCGATCAAGGAGGGTATACTAGATTTGATGGAGGAAAGATTAGGCACATTTTGTGTTGTGGTGGCGGCCATGATGGGGTCGCGCACGCTTACGTTTAGGGAGTTTTGGGCATGTGGAGCTCCATATTATCACGGGGCGCGGGACCCCATAGCGAGTACTAGATGGTTGGCGGATGTGGCCAACACTTTCCGCACGAGCAGATGTCCCGAGGTGGACAAGGTCATATTGGCATCCTGTCTTCTGAAGGACAGGGCACGAGATTGGTGGGAGGAGGTCGGATATGTCATTGGAGATGACGCGACTTTGGATGCTATGACCTCGGCTGATTTTACTGCCAGGTTCAAAGTTGAGTTTGCACCGGTTATTGAGGTGCAACAGTTAGCCAGGGAGTTTCAAGACCTCACCCAGACAATAGAGACAGTGGCGGAGATCACTGCCAAGTTCAATGAGAGGGCACTTCTCGTTCCTCAGTACGCAACTGATGAGGAAATGAAGAAGGCCCGTTTAGTAGGACGTTTAGTAGAGCTCCATGGGAGCTAAATTGTCCACTTAAGGTTGAGATAGCAGTTGACAGGACCATTAAGGTGGCGAGAGTACACAGAGGATGTTCTCTATAGTTATTCGATGAGTAGTTTTCGGTGGACTTGGTCCCTATTCCCCTGTGAGGGAATAAGGTCATATTAGGCATGGATTGGCTGAGCCCCAATGGGGCAGTGATACATTGTGAGCTGCAGTTAGTGAAGGTTCGCACTCCCAGTGGGGGAGAGTTAGTGATTCAAGGCGAGAGGCCACATCGCGGACCAGTTCTGTGTTCAGCAGCGAGAGCGAGGCGCTATTTTCATCAGGGTTGCATCGGTTACATTGCATATGTTTTAGATTCCTGGGAGAAGGGCAAGACGACGGTTGACGATGTTCCGATAGTGCGAGACTACCCGGATGTATTTCCAGAGGATTTGCCTGGAATACCTCCCGAGAGATAGGCTGAGTT